CCCCAAAACCCCAAAACCCCAAAACCCCAAAACCCCTTTCTAGTTCACTTAAATAACTAATTTATTTATTAATTTGCATCAAATATTGCCAGTCAAAGAGCAAATGCTTGTAGAATAGACATTGGGTAATGAAAATCAACCGTGAATTCATTGTCGCCCCACTTTCCAAACTGAAACAATTCAGTTCCTTCATCGTCATCAAGTTCTGTAGGTTTGAGATTATATTGTTTTGGTATTAATTGTGTATTATTTTATTGAAGCTTTGTTTCATCGTCCATGAAAGTTTTGGACATATCTTCCTTTATCATTCGACCATGTGGGCTTATTTGTCCTCTAAAATTATAGCGGTCTTATCTTTAAAGATCCCATTCGCTTCAGAGTACTTTAGTCGATCGTTATACGGGTTTCATGGATCCCACTCATTATTCTTTATTTTGTGCATATTTACTTGAGTTCTTCTTACGTTTCCTATACCTTTCATTTTCTCTGTGTTGAAACAGATTCCCATGATAGTGGATCTCCATCTTGATTTATGATCTCATTGTTTTGGGTTATTTACCATCGTCAAAGACAAAATATTTGTTCTTTTTAGGAATCTACCGCTCTAACTTTTCCAATATATTTGTTTCCTTTTTCTTTTGCAGATTTAGTATCAAAGGAAATCCGATAGTTTGAAGTTTTGTTCCCTATTAAAGTTATTAGGTGGTTAATTTGTGTTTACCGCTTCGTTTCTTGCCAACCAATATTTCTCGCTCCATACTGTTTCCATTTCCTTGTTGTATTGTAATTACTAAGACATATTTTGGGTGAAATCTGTTTAAGCCTGATCTGTTTCTGATTATTGATAGTTGCATGTTTCCTCATCATTTAGGAATTGGAAGATGAATCAAGCTTCTATTTTTCAGTCACTCCAGTCAAATTAGATGTTATTTTCTCTATGAATCAAGCTTGATAGCTTAAAAAGATTTTCCTAGAATGAAGTTTTTCTATTTGTCTAAATTTGGGAGCATTATATACTTTTTCATCTACTTCTTCAAGGAAAGGATAATTGATAAAATTATCAGAATTAAGCTTATCCTGATATTTCTGTGATATCTCAAATTTTTGTGTATTATTTATCTTCTTCGCTAGGGTCTCTCCTATGCCTATTTCTAAGGTTTCTTTTGGACAATGATTGAGAATCTTTATTGTTTTCTTTACTTTCTCAACTCTCAATCAAATCTGAAGATTCCCCAAAGCTTTCTTTTCTATGTTGACAAACTGCAATTTCTGTTTGGTTTGTTTCATGTGCTCTTCCTTTAAGTTTATGGAAATTCCTGCCTATTTTATAGTAACATGACTTTACTCTTGGTATCAGAAAAATGGCTTCTCATTCCAACCATTCCTAGTACTGTATTGGCTGTATCTGTAGATTCTTTCTGGGTATTTTTATTCGAGGAAATTTGTAATAAATCATTATCAATGAACCTATAAGTATTATGAATATTCTTAAAGCTTAAAAGTTATGATAAGTATTCCTCCTTTTCCTTTGAACTATCAATGGACTTACTTGTTGTCTTGTTCATGTTGTTTATTAGAAATGTTTTTGTTATCTTTTCCTCTAGCGCATACTTTGGGAGTCTTGAAAATTTGATCCTGCTGTAATCTGCATGGATTTCTTCTAAAAATGATTGGTACATTATGACTAGGTAAGAGCAAAGCCAAGGGTTTTGAAGTGGTTAATAAATTTACATTTTTCTTGATTCTAACAAATGGGTATTTCCTTTAATAGGTTTTATTATCTGATTGTTAGGTTCATCTGAAGGTGGCAGATAGTTGTCTTCATTATACGGTATGTTAGGAATAGTTTTAGTTTGTTCAGTTAGCATTTTTCTTATAATCTTTCGCTTGGTTTGTTCTGACTAAGTTTTGAAATATATCTATTGTTAGTATCACATCTTGGATGATATTTCACTGATCTTTTAGGTTTTAATGACTCATCTTTTAACCCCGAAGGTGCAATTTTATTTTCTTAAATCTATTATAGAAGGAGCAACATAATTTGAAGTTGTTGTGATTTCTATTATTTCACTCTCAATATCAAACTTGAGAGGCACAGCACTGGTTCAAGATTGATCTATCTTTATTTTATTTTGTAAGTATTTCGAAGTATGGATATTATCTAAATGAGAGTATCTATCTTCCTCTCATATTTTTGAAGAATTAGAAGCATTTGGATGATAGAACAACATTGCAGATACTTTATCCTTGGGCTGGATGTTTAAGTCTGAAGGAGTATACTTCGAGTTTATAACTGGTTTCGTAATATCATTAAAATCTTGATATTGTCTATTGTATGTTTCAAATTTTCTTTTGGAAAGATTCCTTGTTTTGACGCTTTTTATCTTGGTAGTATTTTTGTCAACTTCTATTAATCTTGCCATATTTGTACGGTTTGCATCATCATGCAAGTATTCATTATTCCTTTGTTCTTGTTGTTGAGTTTTATTTTGTCTTAGACCTCTATAAAGGAATCAGTAAGGAAACTAAAAATCAAAGAGTAATAGAGTTCACTAAAATTAATTTGCATTAGGTAGATAAGTTAGTTTGTATTAATTGCTCTGACATAAAATTATACTTTTAGTATTAGTTGGTATTAAATTATTCTTACTTTCTTTGAAGGAGATATATGATTATATTTTTCAAAGTTATGACACTCATCTGAATTTGATGATATATTTTCACCATTATTAAACTTTTGGCATCCCTCTTGTTGATATTTAGCACTTGGTTCGTCTCTAAAGCTGATCATTTTATTCAATAATTATTTTAATAAAGGGGTTTTGGGGTTTTGGGGTTTTGGGGG